CTATCAGGTTCTGAGGGTCTTTTTGGTTGTTGTGAGGTTTCTGATTACTGATTTAATATCCTCACTTGTTATTGAACTGTTTAGATTTTCTATTTCTTCATTGTTCAGTCTTGGCAGGGTGCGTATTTCTTGAAATTTATTCATTGCTTCTGGGTTATCCTATTTGCCACATATAATTCTCATCAGCAGTCTCTTAAATTATTTGCATTTCTTTTACATGAGTTGTAATGTCTCTTCTTTGATTAATAATTTTACTGATTCAAGTCCCCTCTCTTTTGGTCCTGGTGTGTCAAGCTCAAATTTGTCAATTTTGTTTATCTTTTAAAGAAACCAACTGAGTTGTGTTATTTATATTTTTTCTACTTCCAATTTTATTTGTATTTTCCCTGATATTTGTTATTTCTTTTATTCTGCTAACTTTTGACTTAATTTTTTAAGTTGCTTCTTGGAGGTTTAAAGTTAGGTTGTTTATTTGAGATCTTTCATTTTTCTTAATGTAAGAATATATCACTCTAAAGTTCCTTCTTAGAACTGCTTTTTGCTGCATTTGATATGTTGTGATTCCATTTTCATTTCTATCAATAATTTTTAAAATTTTGCGTTGATTTCCTCTATAACCCACTGGTTGTTCAATAATATGTTGTTTATTTTTCACATGTTTATAAATTTTTAAATTTTTCACCTGTTACTGATTCTAGTTTCATTGCACTGTGGTTGATAGAGATATTTGACCTGATTTTGATATTCTTAAGTTTATTGGGACTTGTTCTGTTGCCTAACATATGATGTATCATGGAGGTTGTTACATACCTGCTTAAGAAGAATGTGTCTTCTGCTGCTGTTGTCCCCAGGTTTTCTGTGGTAGGCCTGACGCTGCGTTTACAATGAAATCATATACTCAATTCACTCTTCTTTATTTATGAAAAGGATATCTCTCTCCATACTGTGCTTTCCAGGCTTGTGAGAGGAATGATGTAGATAATTTGAAACTGTCCTTTCTAACATTTATAATACATCAATTTTAATTTCCATGTTAATCTTAACTACTGTAACATCTTATCTGCATCCTTTTGTTCTATGAAAGTATTTTTGTGGATGGATAATTGTTCAAACTGATGTTTCTGTGAGGAGATAATTGCTGAAAAGTTTTAATCCACCATTTTGCTGACATCACTCTCCTGCCAATTTTGTTTTAGATATTGTCTATTAGTATCAGTTTTTTATTCCATTTACTCAATTATCTTTAGATACAGTTTAAAAATCCAATAAAATTATTTACATTTTCCCACAGTTATAACATTTTTGTGTTCTTCATTTACTTTCATAAATTTTGATTTTTATAAGGTGTCATAATTTTCTACCTGATAAAGTGCCTTTAACAATACTTATAGTATACACCTTCTGTCAGTAAATATCCACTTTTTGTTTATTTAAAAATGAATTATTTGCCTTTATGTTTAAAAGTTATTTCACTGGGAATGTAATTCTAGGTTGTGACTTATTTTCCCCCCATGTACTTTAAAGATTATTCATGATTTACTTCTCTAACTTGCATAGTTTCAGAGGAAAAGTCTGCTCTCATTTTAATCCTAGTTAGATAATACGTGATATTTTGTTTTTCTCTAGCTGCCTTCAAGGTTTTCTTTATATCTCCAGTCTTCAGAAATTAGACTATAATACACTGGGTTATTATTATCATTTTATCCTACTGATGTTTCTCTGAGCTTCAGGTACACCTAGGTTTTTTACTTTCATGAAACCTGCAAAATTATAATTCTTTCGAATTGATTATATATCTCTCTCTCTTTCACTCACTTTGCACTGCTTTCAGTATTTCAATTACATGTATGTATCATACAGACCATTTATATTCTTAAATATTGTACAGAGCATTTATATTCTTACATAGGTGCTGGATACTTTGTTCTTTTTTCACTTGTGTTTCATTTTGGAGAATTCATATTTGTTTATCTTCACGTCAACTGGTATACTAGTCTTTTTTGTCAGTTCTGGTAATAATCCCATCAAACGAAATCTTCACCTTTGATAATTGTGTTTTTCATTTCTGCCATTTCAGTTTTACTCTGTTTTATAGTTCTGAAATTCCTGGTGTCTTCCAAATATGTTGTCTTATTTTTCAAGATGATTTAACACATTTTTCATAGTTATTTTTGTTTTCATTCTGATACAACATCTGATAGACATTTCTGTGTCTCTTTTCGTTCTATTGTACCTGTTAATAACAGGTTGTAGTTCTTTTGCATTTGTGAATAGCTTTATTTCCATTTTAATTCTAAACATTGTGTGCAGAAGAATAGATACTGGAAATAATATTTCTGTTTAACATGTATTTTCTTCTGTCTGAATATCAGTGTTGGGGTGGAATCTTATAAATCTGTAGCTGATCTGGAATTGGTTTATTTTGTATAGTCACTAATCATTATCTCTGGTAGTTATGTTCTGAAATGTTTCCAGACACTGAACCATTGCTTCTAGGAAAAATACAGATCTAGGTTCCTGAGAGCTTCTGGTTACAACATTTTTATTAACCAATCAATATATAACTTTGTTTTGTTTGTTTTCCTGTGTAAAGACAACTTGTTTAATATAACAAAGAGAATCTAACATAGGCATTTTCCCCGTAAGGCACATCCTAGCCTTCTTGTGCTTCCAAACAGTAAACACACTTTAGCATAATACTTAGGGGCCAAAATAAAAATAAGAATAAAAAAACTGTGTTATTAAGTAATCCTTGGAAAGGATGCATTTATAATATAAGGTCTGCAACAAGAAAGCAGAATAGTTCCCTGTTCGATCTCATCTGGAAATGTGTGCATCAAGAAACTTAAATTTTTCACTCCTCTGTGCATTCACAAATAACTATAAAAGTGCTACAGGCATGAACTTTGAAATGACAAATAAATTTTAGCGGCAGGTGAATTTGCAAATAATCCACAAATAGTGAGGATTGACTGTGTTTGCGTAGTGACTTTCAATGTACCATATGCTTCAACGTCATGAATTTGCAAACAAAGAAGCCACAAGTAGTGAGGATTGACTATGTTAGTGTGATGACTTTCAATGTACCATTTGCTTCAAGGTCATTGTGTGCAGAGTAGTAACTTCAATAAAAAGGGGTTAGGTTGCTTGCGATATGAGTCCTAGAGGGCTTGAAGAGTTCTTCTCAGTATCCCGCTTCATCCTCAGATCAGGGGACTATGCACACCTGTATCACAAAAGACATCTCTCTTCTCCATTGGTGCTTGTTTACTTGATTCAATATTCATAGTGAGTTCATAGGAGTTTCTCAGTTCTCTTTTCTTTAGACTCAGTCTTAGGTAGGCACTGTGTAACCACAACTTGGAAACAACACTGATATAACACTCCTGCCTATTTCTCAGGGGGAAAAAATGCTTATTATTCATTATAGGCTGTAAATCAAGGCTATAAAAGATTTTCCATAAATAATCAAATAGTAAGTATTTTAAGCTTTTAGTCACATATGTTAATTTAACAATTATAAAATGTAAAAAAGCATTCTTAGCTCACAGACTTGCCAAAAATAGACTGAGAGATGGAATGAGCTCCAGACTCTAGCCAGCATACTGCTACTTAGCACAGGTTGTTTTCCTGTGCTTCCTACCTGTGGTAGGTTAACTCTGCCTTGAATCAGCAGGGATTTGGAGATACGAGCAAGCACGTTTCTGCTACACAAGCAGTAGGGTCTTATAATTTAGTGTCAATAAAACGTTCTGATGGAATGAGTACATTTTCTACCCTTCCTCAAAGGCAGCACACAATTAACTGGCATCAGGTAGGGGGCAAGGGCACAGGCAGGTTTTATGCCTGTAACCCAGTTGTTTCTTCACCTTACATACAGCCTTCACCTTACATACAAGCGGATTATGGATGTATGTTTTCGAAGTGTATTGCCTCTACCCTCAAACATTGGAAAGTCCTGAATATCTGTACCATGAAGGGAGTCTTAGATCTCTTTTCTTGCACCTGTGTCTTTTAGGAGGATGCTACAAAAGCCTATGGAAATTCCTGGCAGGTAGATGCATGCTGTCCTGTGTCTGGGACACATAGAAATTCTAAATTGCGATGTTAGACTTTGCCCAGTTTTTGAAAAGTTTTTTTTTTAACTCTTCTGTTCTTTTTTCTTACCCACTTTTAAGGCTTCCACTTGTTTTCTCCCATGCTTTACCCAAGTTAAAAAGTAAATACTATGATTTGTCTCTCCTTAGAGTAACTTCCATTGTTGTATATTCACATAGATGTTTCTGGCTTTTTTTCTACAAACATATTGAACATTATGAAGGTATGACTTCTGGAATGCTAACTGTGTTGGATTCAGTAACATCCTCTCCAGAATAAGCACACTTCTTTTGTCACACCAAGAATTAAAGAGGTTGTGGACACTATTCTATTTCTATGCCTGTAAGAATAACAATCAAACCTATTTTATATCTTTACTATATGTTATAAGAGGGATGTATCCATGAACCCTCACCATGACATAGTCTTTAAAGCAGGGACTCACCACTTTATTCATCACCCAAATATCTTTTTTTTTGTACCATTTATTATGTTTTACTTCTTTCTTTAAAAAATTCAGTTATTAAAAATTCATTTATGTTAATGTATTTTACATGTTTTATTTTTTAATTATATTTGTTGTTTATTTTATTTAAAATTCATTTTTCACTTCTTATTTTTCTTTCTGTACCAATTTTCTGTAATGTGTCTTCTTGGCCCACCCCAGGATTAAAAGGAGTAGTTAATCTAATGGAGGTATGTGAGCACATTTGGCATGTGCAGCCCAGTATTAGAGTGTTGGAAGTTTATCAGAATTCACAATTAGTTGAGTCTTCAGTTTTTTACTGATACCAGAAACATATGAGTTAAGCTAGCCTAATAAAGGGGTGAAACATAACTGAGCTAAGTTAGCCCATAACTAAAGCTTACATTTCAGTTACTATTTCTTCTCGTTCTTTCAGTTGGCTTGGAATTACAATCAGGAGAAAGGAATGTTCTTTTGCTAATGAATGAGGAGAAATTGGCAATGTTCCAATCCCAAGTCTAGACCTTGGGAGGCTTGCACTTTGCCAAATTATGATCCCCTTCTCAGCTTCTGCTCCTTCAGCATGGATACTATCATGAACACACGGAAAATGGCCTGCCCTATTTAATCCCAGCCAAACCAAACCCAGGTGCAAAGTAGAGTCACACAGCCAAACCCACCCTACACCAACAATTCCCAATTGATCTGTATCCATGAGAATAAATGACTGTGGTTTTCAGCCATGTTGCAGTATGTAGCATTTTTGTAGTAACAGCTAGTTGGTAGGAGGGATGTCATTTAATAGCCCTTTTAAACTCCAATATCTGAAGCATGGGCCAGTATTCATGAAATACAGATAAGGGCTGTTATTAGGCGTTAAATGCTGAAATCAGGTTACAGAGCATCAGCTTTAGCATAGAAAGACACAAATATAGAGATTTTTTTCTTTTTAAATATTAGATAAATGCAAAAAATGCACAAAACATAAGTATATAGCTCAAACAATTAGCACCATATAAACAAATTACTAGTATCCCACAAACCCATTCTCTCCCAGAATTGCATGAAGAGGAAGAACTGTGAGTTGTGATATCTTAGTAATTAAAATGTCTTCGGGTTCAGATTTGAACACCTGCAGATTTAAACAGAAAAGCAAAAGTAAGCTAAGAAATGAAGTACTATCTTTGTAAGCAACATTCCTAAAATGACATTCATCTTAATGTTTTTAATTCACTGTTATAAAATAGGAAAAGAGAGTGCCAATTAAAGACTGTTTGCTAGGTTCACTATCCTATGCCCTGTATGACAGATTGTCTTTCTGTATTTAAAAAAACTAAGCAAACTGTTATAAGAATCCACAGATTTTAATGGTATTGGTACAGATCAAGTGAATAATACATTTAGATTAATAAATATAACACACAATGGAAAAGAACACAACCTGAAATTTTGTTTCAAAGATCAGGCTGCATTTGTTGATAAAATAATTAAATTTCAACTTATGTGACATTTTTCAAAATCAAGCAAAAATGAAGCATTTAAATGTCAGCATAATTTTTGTATTCAGTTAAATCTTTTTCAAACTAATTCAGGTTTCTTTACTTCCATTTTAAATATCAGCTAATTAATATGTTCTTACTGGAATTCAGAGTAAAATAAATTTGGGAACTCACACAATGAATGTGTAGATAAGTAACTTGGAAAAAAAGTCAATAAAATTCTTTGTTACAATGTTACCACATTAAATTTATAGCAGTTGGTTAAACAATACACATCCTCCTCCATACTTCTAAGTTTTGCTCCAGGATATTTTTTATAGACTGTATTCTCTCATGGTAGAATTGTAAATAGTCAGTTAATATAATTTTTCTGAACATTCAGTGCACCTTCAAGAAATGTTCTATTTTGAAGATTTCTCCAAATAATATCTTACTTAAATATCTCAGAAATAGTTTTTCTTTAGGGCACGTGTAGGTTTTCATCATGGGTAATTCTAAAATAGAATGTTTTTACCCAGAAAGGGAGCTTCCCACAGGGAATGTTAACCTTTTAAAGATATAATCAAGATCAAACTTTATATAGGAGAATCATGAGCTTTGACACCTGTTTTAAATTATTTCCTTTTTCATCCATCCTACTTCCTCAAAAATTATTTTTGTTTTGGTGCTAGTTTATCTTTTTGGCATAGGATTTTTATGTTTTCAAGTAATAGAATACATACTATTATTTTATGAACGTGGAATGTATTAAAAGACCACTTAATAAAACCTGCCACTATTCCTAAGAAGCAATGTTGAAAAGATGTCTCTTGTTACACTTCACAGGGCCCTCTCTAAATGGACAAAAAGAGAAAAAGATACTAAACTTTCACTTCCTGCGAAACTTGTGATTTTTCTGACCTGCCAGTTTAGTAATTCTATTATTATCTATGTGTTTTGATGTGTAAAGAAGAATAGAATTCATGGTTCATCTCTAGCAGATATACAACAGTATATATATCCATTTCTGTTTTCTAAAATCACAATTGATTATTATTATTTACTTGCATTATTGTTCTAATTTTATATTTATTCTCACTAAAATTGTTATAAATATTTTGTTCATATATATTAAAATCACATATAACTATTTTCTCATGTGCAACTTGCATGATCAATAGAGGGTACTTAAAGAACAAAAACAATAGAAGAATGAACAATCCCATTACCTAAAGCAAGAATATACCAAGTACTGTAGCTAAATTATATGTGTTTCTAAATCTAGCTCTAGTCCCCTCGATGGGCCTATAAATGCATACATAATTACATACATTGCATATGTCGCTTGCAAATTCTATGTTCCATGAATTGACTCTAGATACATATATATATATTATATTTATTCAAACATATATGGAAAAATTTGCTTTTGCAAATGATATAATACTGTACTTATTTAAAATATCTTTTACTTTATATTTTAAAAACAAGCATTTGAAATAAATGCTTTATGGCAAGCCTATGAATCACTTAATTTACTATGGAAGTAAATTAATTTACATAAACATTTCTCAGTTGCTCGATAGAACTTATACCAGTTTTTCTGTACATAGATCATTGAACACATGTTTTAGAACTTTCTAGATGGAGAATTTCTGAGTCAAAATATGTACAAAATTCTAAAGCATGTGATGTGACCTGGAAATAAACAAAAGTGAGCATGTAGCAAAGATTCTTACTTTGAAGAGAGATAAGTCAAAGATGATGCTGAGATTTCTGGCTTATGCAATTTAATTATCAATATGATTGTCAGTGAATTAAATAATATATAATAATGGAATCTTTTTATCATTGAACAATTTATACCTTATTTAGTTTGAATATGTGTTCCCTCCAAATCTTATGTTGAATTGTAATCTCCAGTGTTGGAGGTGGGGCATGGTGGGTGGTGTTTGGATCATGGGGGCCGATCCTTCATGACTCAGTGCTGGCTTCATGACAGTGAGTTCTCATGAGAGCTGGTTGTTTAAAAGTGTGTGCACCTCCTCACCCACTCTGTATCTCCTCTGCCTCTGCCACCTGATGTGCCTGCTCCAACTTCACCTTCCACCATCAGTAAAAGTTCCCTGAGACTTACCCAAAGCTGAGAAGATGCTGGCGCCATTCTTGCATAGTCTACAGAACTGTTAGCCAATGCAATCACTTTTGTTTACCCAGTCTCAGGTATTTCTTTACAGCAAATGCAAGAACAGCCCAATACACCCCATTGTTATTCAATCTGACACAAATACAGAGAAATTTAATTATACTTAAAATATTATTATATTATCTGTAAAATGACCTGTAAATAGATGAAGCAGTACATATTTTTATATACAAACTCAGAGTAGATCTGTAAAAAGACATATTAACAAATGAAAAGATATGCAACCTCATTAATTTTTAAAAGAATTAATAAAAAATTACTATAGTGTTTTCATGTGTCCAAAGGACAAAAGTAGTATTCTTCATACATGGAGTGAAACAAGGATCTGGGTCAACAAGTCATTTCAAACTCTTTGTTGTAGTGGAAATGAATGAGGGTTCTTTGGAGAGTATTAAGACAATAACTTTAACGTGCACATTTTCTTTGACAAAACAATTATACCTCTAGGGATATATCCGAAACACAGATTACATGTAACTATAAAGTTATGAACCAATAAGAAAAATGAGTGTTCGTTTTTCTTATTTTCCTATTTTCTGTACCAATTTGCCATCATCCTCACGCCCTAAATCCATCTATTTCACACTAGCCGAGAAAAATTGTATCATTTTATTGAGTGATTCATGGAGCCACTAATGAGGATAACTTCAGAGATAACTTAAGAATATTTCAGTACACAACTTTATTCCACATTTCTCCCATGTGAGAGAGAAAGGAATTACCACTTTTCTCAAGCCAAGTAATGGGCCTTCAATAAAATTCAGAGATTGCTTGTTGTGTTTAACCTGTGGTTTAAAAAGTATTCAGCATTCAGTGTCTCACTCTCATCCAAAGAGAAAGATGCTGGCGTTGCAGCTGCCCTTCCCTGTGGGATGGCACAAGCACAGAGGTATAGTGAGGCTGTAGTTGCAGAAGTGTGCAAGTTTCCCGTGGAACAGATACTAACTCCATAATAACTACTTCTGGAATTCTGAGATGCCGTTTACAAAGGGCTGTACTTCTGGAACTCGAATGGGAAGGAAGATTTTTCAGCTGCCAGTTGAAGACTGCATTGCCCATGGCAAATACACTGTGGATGAAAGATCCTCAGCAACTTGAGGTGAAGGACTAGTTAAAGAATTCAAACATGCTAACGGGAGGGAAAGAATAAACAATGGATTCTGTCACATCCAGAGGCCAACAGTGTTAGATTAAAATCTTACCAGACAAAATTCTTGCAAGGTTTTTCTACCTGTCAAATGAAATATTTCTGATGCTTTCTCTTTTCTCCATTACTCCATACTCCAGACCTAGAGGGGCCCCAAACCGCAGTTACTGAACAGAAAAATAAGAACAAGAAAGATAGACAAGCTTATCTTGTTATCTACTTCACTGTAGATTTCACAGTCGGGGCAGGCCCAAATTGGAGAGGAAAAACAAATGAAAACTCATTACTTTGATATGATATTTATTGGGCTGTCTTACCATAAATGATTGAAAACATTTTATTACTTGAGCCTGACTGAGAAACTGAAGGACTTGCACACGTGTTTACATAGCGTGGAGAAGATATGAGCTCACAAAGCAGACTTAAAGACACAGTCCTTAAAACACAAGAAAGTAAGTTTACCTAGTAAACTGTATTTAAATTTTACAAAGATTTTCATTACAGCCTTGTTCATGTTAATAAAACTTAAATTAAAATCTTGTTTCAACTAGAAAACTGGTTAAAGAAAGTATAAACAGCTTTAAAATGCAATACTATAAATCCTTCAAAAAAAGATGGTAGGTTTCACTTGTAATAATAGGTATGACTCAAAAGACAGTGTTACATGCAGGAAGTTGCAGATATAACTTAAGAGCACAGTAGACCCTTAAACATGTAGGGGTTAGAGGCGCCAACACCCCTCGTTGTTGAAAATCCACATATAACTTTTAACTCCACAAAATTAACTGCGAAAAGCCTACTCTTGAACCTTACCAATAACGCAAACAGTTGATTAGCACATACTTTGTATATGTATTGTATACTGTATCATTACTATAAAGTAAGAGACAAGGTTATTAAGAAAAT